CTGCAGTGCTGGCAGGCTGGAGCTGGTGTGCTCAGGGTGGGCAGCCTGCTGCCCTCCAGCCCCTCCTGCATGGGGCTCCTGCAGTGCTGGCAGGCTGGAGCTGGTGTGCTCAGGGTGGGCAGCCTGCTGCCCTCCAGCCCCTCCTGCATGGGGCTCCTGCAGTGCCCGCAAAGCGAGCTGGGGACCTCACCCAGCTGGGGACATCACCTGGGACAGCAAAGGGGACCGTGGCTCCAGTGGGCTTTGTCTCTTAACAAATGCGGATTTAGTTTTTCCCCCAGTTGTTTCCCTTGGTTGTTTCAGTAGAATAAGGAAGGAGGGAAATGAGAAGGGAAAACAACAAGAAAGCAGCAGCCAAGGGGAACTCAAAGCCCAGGCGATGCCAGGGAGGAGCTCCAAAAACTCTCTGCACTAAAACTTTCCAGTGATTGAAAATTTTCAGCAAACATTTTCAGTCAAAATGTTGCAAAGCCGTCCTGTTTGCAGGGCTGGCGGAACAAACCTGGTTTCCAGCTGGGCTGCCAGTACTGCCTGTGTGTCCCTGAGCCACTGTCCCCACACTGTCCCCAGCCCCAAGCACTTCCCAGTGGCTACGTGGGGATGATTTCCCTATGCTAGGCTAAATGGAAATGCATTCCCTGCAGGAGATTACAGCATCTGGTATCCTGATGCTTGAAGAGTTTACTCAGCCTGAAAGAGTAGTGGGGAAAAAATATCCCTGGATATTTTTTGGAATGCAGAAGGAAATTAAGATTTTAATGTTGGGGGCAACTGGCCATCATCAAATGCAGGAGCCTCCTGCGAGTGCCTCTGGGCAATGCAGCTGAAATTCTCAACTAGCTGCAGTTTCCCAGCTGGGAACAGGGGGGGAAAAGCAACCACATATGTGCTTTTAAAAAAAATTAATTAAAAAAATAAAAGAAAATTAGAAAAAAGGGGGGAAATGATCCCAAGTGCAGGTGCTTACTTGTGCCTCCTGCAGAGCTTGTGGTGTTTGGCAGAGTCCCCCAGGAATCCAGCAGGGTGCTGTGGGGTGCAGAGAGCTTCTAGCAGAGTGCAGGTGGCAGCTCCTGGGGTTTTGCTGTCCCCTTGGCTGCTGGTGTGGCCACAACAAACCCCAGTCTCGCTCCTGCCATGCCAAACCCCAGCTGGGGCAGCGATCCAGCAGCTCCCAGCTGGCTCTGTGGGATGTGGGCAGCTGGGCTGGGTGTGTTTAGCCCTTCTCTTGGTGGTGGGGACAGCAGCACAGGGCGATGCAGAGACACAAGTGGGTGTTCACCCGCAGCCCCAGTGGTGTTGGGCTGGTTCAAGGATGTGCCAGCCAGGAGTCATCCCTGGTGCAGTGGGGATTTACCCCAGCAGCCAGACCCTTTTTGGCCAGCAGCTGTGGTCCCTTTAACCCCCAGGTTAGTAGGTTGCTCTCCCAAAGGTCAATGTGCATTTCAACTAGGTTAAAACAGCCTTTTTTAATAAAAGGAGAACCTATTGCATCTGGTGCTGGTGTGAAGTGTCCTCTTGGCAGATAAGGGGAGCTCAGGGAGCCTGGGGCAGGCTGGTGACCTTTAGGGGTGTCCCTGGTGCTCCCCCCGGCGTGGTGCCAGACCCCATGGTGGTCACCCAGAGGTGTGTGGGCACAGCGGGAGCTGCCCGGGCTCGGGGTTCCTGGCAGCTGAGGGCAGGCGGTGGAGGTGGCCAGTGCTGGCCCTGGGCAGAGCCCAAGGAGCTTCCCGCAGGTCCTGTGACCATCCCGTGGGGACGTGGCACGCCATGGCTCCCAGGATCCCTGTGAGCACAGAGCTGAGGCTTGGGGCTCTGTTCCTCCTACACGGGGTCGCAGGGTGGCAGGAGAAGCGCTGCCATCCTCAGCTGGCTGCCCCGAGCAGAGCTGGTGTTTGTCCCCTCCTCGGCTGCCTCAGCGTGATGAGCCCTGCTTCTGTCTCCACAGGACTGCCAACATGTTGGCCACCCCCAGACCGGCCCTGCTGCCACTGCTGCCACTGCTGCCACTGCTGCTGCACGTCCCTCATGCTGCCAGAGCCCAGGTCAACCCCGGTAAGTCACACAGGGACCAGGTGGCTGCAGGTGCCGTCATTTCATTTCCCTGGTCTCTGCTCCTGCCAGCTGGCCAAGTTTGGACTCTCATCCTCTCCATCATTTCTGGGACTTTGTAGCTCTGGGGCAGGATGTGATGGCCCCCAAAGCGTGCACCTGCCTGCTCACTGCTGTCCTGCACCTCCCTCGGGCACTGCAGAGCCCCCTGTGCGTGCCAGGGGTGCTGTCCTGCCCTGCCAGGTGCTGGACATGGCACACAAAGCACAGCAGCCCTGGGCTCTGAGTGGGGCCCTTGCCCATGGGGGCTCACCCAGGCTGCCAGGTGCCAAGATGTTGTTTTCTCTGCTGGGCTGTGCCTTCTCTGGCGGTTTTGCAGCAAACCAAGGCTGGCTTTGGTGAAGTGGCTTGACTGGGTGCCTGGCTTCTGCTCAGAAACCACAACAGTGCGCCAGCCGGCAGCACAAGCGTGTTTAGAGCCGTTCCTGCAGGGCTCAGCCCCATCCTGTGCTTCAGGGATGGACAGAGCCCAGGTTTTCCCAGGGTTTTCCCAGGGTTTCCCCAGGGAGTCCCTTTAACAAGTCCCTTCAAAGGCTCCTTCCATCTGTGGGAGGAGTTAGCTGTGTCTTCCCTGGAGGTTGGTGCTTACTTAGGGAGGCAATCCTGCTTCTCCTGCAGACATCTGTGGCTGGCAGGATTGGATTTGCCTGGCCAGGATTGTTATTACCAAGACAAAAGTCCAGGGCTGGCTCCACGTTTGGCAAGAACTAAACAGGAATTCAGTGGGAGCAGAGCAGGAGACAGAGGAGATGCTCCCGCTGTGCCAGTGCTCACGATGAAGGCGCGTTCATCCCTGTGCCGGATGTAGGATACGGTCCCGGTGTCCTGGGGATGGTGGCACAAGGGGACGTGGGCTCTTTGCAGAGCTGTGGGTGGAGGTGGCCCGGGCACAGCGTCCTGCCCGCTCCTCGCCACCTCGGTGCGGGTGTTTGCTCGGGGCGGGAGCGCGGTGGGCTGGAGCCGGCAGCCAGACGGTAAACACGGCCAAACAAGCCGCCCTTTCAGCAGCGCTCTTGGCAGCCAGGCGTGAAAAAATAACTCCAGTGAAGCAGCGAGGATGCGGTGCTGAGGGAGTCGGCTGCCACTCGGGGCTGCAGCCCGCCTGCCACCCCGGGTACTTTTCCACTCGCAGCCAGGCCGGGAGCAGGGCTGGAGATGGCAGCTGAGGGGGTAGTGGGAAGGATGAGTGCCCGTCTTGATCACTGGTCCCCCAGGCAGGGACAGGGAGCAGCACGACACGGTTGCTGCCAGTGAGGTTTCTGGGCAAGTGGCCTCTGGAGTGAGCCCTCTGGAGCATGGGGACAGCAGTGCCAGCTCACAGGCTCCACTGCAGCCCAGGTCCTTGCCAGCACGGCTGAGGAGATCCCTGGGGACAGGGCCCGGCCTGCCCGTCAGCCCTTGGAGCCACCTTGGAGCTGGGCTGGCACCCGCTTCTGGCCAGGGGCCTCGCTGGCTCCGGAGGGTGCCTGCTTAGGCAGGACTGTCCCCTCCTTGCTTCACCCTCTCTGTGCAAGCCAGAGGGGTGGAGAGTGCTGCCCTGGGGCACCCTGGATGTGCCCCAGCCCGGCTGGGCAGTGGCAGAGGGGTTCCCTCCTGGCCAGCGCCCCGCCGGTGTCGTTGCAGCCGTGTGTCGGTACCCCCTGGGAATGTCGGGCGGGCACATCCCTGACGAGGACATCTCAGCCTCCAGCCAGTGGTCTGACTCCACGGCCGCCAAGTACGGACGGTGAGTGTGGCAGCCTCCTGCAGCAGCCCCAGCAGGAGGGAGGAGGGGGACGCGGGGCCGGCCTCGGCCACCTGCAAACAGCTCCTCCGCTCTGGGCTCGCAGGCTGGACTTGGAGGACGGCGACGGAGCCTGGTGCCCCAAGACGGCGGTGGAGCCAGATGACCTGAAGGAGTTCCTGCAGATCGACCTGCAAGCCCTGCACTTCATCACGCTGGTGGGCACCCAGGGGCGCCACGCCAAGGGCCACGGCAATGAGTTTTCCCCCATGTATAAAATCAACTACAGCCGGGATGGCACCCGCTGGATCTCCTGGAGGAACCGGCACGGGAAGCAGGTGGGGAGGAGGATGGTGGGGGCTGCATTGCATGGGGGGTGAGGAGGCTCCTCCTGGCCATCCCCACCGTGCTGCTCTCTCTCCAGGTGCTGGATGGAAATACCAACACCTACGACATCGTCCTCAAGGACCTGGAGCCGCCCCTCATCGCCCGCTTTGTGCGCTTCATCCCCGTCACTGACCACTCCATGAGCGTCTGCCTGCGCGTGGAGCTGTACGGCTGCGCCTGGCTGGGTGGGTGCTGCGCTCCTGTCCCTGTCCCCGTGTCCCCAGCGCCCATCCTGGCCTTGTGGCCCATCCCATGGGGGCTGTCCGTGCTGCAGCACCCGGGACTGGCGGGTGTCCGTGCACTCACCCCTCCCTCCTGCAGATGGGCTGGTGTCCTACAACGCGCCGGTCGGGCAGCAGCTCATCCTTCCCGGGGGCACCATCATCTACCTCAACGACTCGGTGTACGATGGGGCCTTCGGCTACAGGTGAGGACTGCGTGCCACGCTGGCCAGCAGGCCAGGGGGACGTTTCTTCCCTGCCTTGTCAGGCTGATCCTCAGCAGAGCAAATGTTTGCGGTGTCCCTCAGGGGGGAGACGTGGCCAGCCTGGGAGGGCTGCCCAATCATGTGGGGGACAGTGTGATGGGGGAGTCAGCCCCAGCCCTTCCCTTGGATTTGCTCTAGCTGCACCTCATGTTCTGCACCCCACAGCCTTTTCCAGAGAGAACATCAGGAACAAGATCCCCCCGAGTGTCCCGGGGCCCGTGAGGAGCTGCCGGGGGGTGCAGGGTGCAGGTGCAGGTTTGTGGGGATGGCGAGAGTCACACTCCTTCTGTCCCTTTGCCAGCATGACAGAGGGCCTGGGCCAGCTGACGGACGGGGTGTCGGGGCTGGACGACTTCACGCAGACCCACGAGTACCACGTCTGGCCGGGCTACGACTACGTGGGCTGGCGCAACGAGAGCACGGCCGGCGGCTTCGTGGAGATCACCTTCGAGTTCGACCGCATCAGGAACTTCACCGCCATGAAGGTCCACGCCCCCCCCGCCCTGCCGCCCTCCCCGTGCCCCTCGGCGGCCGTGCTGACAGGCTGCCCCACAGGTCCACTGCAACAACATGTTCGCCAAAGGTGTGAAGATCTTCAAGGAGGTGCAGTGCTACTTCCGCGCCGACGCCAGCGAGTGGGAGCCCAGCGCCGTCTCCTCGGTGCTGGTGCTGGATGATGTGAACCCCAGCGCCCGCTTCGTCACCGTGCCCCTGCTGCACCGCATGGCCAGCGCCATCAAGTGCCAGTACTACTTTGCCGACACCTGGATGATGTTCAGCGAGATCACCTTCCAGTCAGGTACCCGTCCCTGCGAGCCCTGCTGCTGGGAGGCTCAGTGGGGCTGGGGGGTGTCCACAGCCCCGCCTGATGTTGGCTTCTCGCTGGCCAGATGCAGCCATGTACAACAACTCTGTGCCCCCCGCCGAGGCACCCGCGGTGCCCACCACTTACGGTAAGCGTGGGAAGCGTGTCTCCCTGTGCTGGGTGGGGGCTGTGCCCCACCCCACCGAGGAAAGGGGGCAGGGGGTCTCCCCACGCCCCGCTGTGACCGCCCCCGCTGTCCCCTTCTCCGGCTAGACCCCACGCTCAAGGTGGACGACAGCAACACGCGCATCCTGATCGGGTGCCTGGTGGCCATCATCTTCATCCTGGTGGCCATCATTGTCATCATCCTGTGGCGGCAGTTCTGGCAGAAGATGCTGGAGAAGGTGGGCAGGCGTGGTGTGGCTGGTGAGGCGCCCTGTGGGGGTGGGATCAGTCTGGGCAGGTTCTTCTGAGCTCAGCACAGAGAAAGCAGGCTCTGTGCAAGGGCTGGTGTTCCCTTCCCCTCCTCAGAAACGCTGTGCTTTTCACCCATCGCCCAAGCAAGGGGAATTAGCTGAGCAGGGTGGTGACTCTGGGACTTGCCTGTGTGTCCATCCCTCTGTCCTGAAGCTGAGCTGGGGAACAGGAGCGTTGGTGCAGAGGGCTCTCACCACAGCCACCAAGGTCACTCACAGAACTGATGAAGCCAAACCCTTCTCCATAGAGGCAGACAAGAGAAGGGTGGGCATGAGGACAAACCCAGGCAGGTGTTGTAACCCAGGGACAAGGCACTAGAGAGGAGGTTTGGGCACATCCCTGGTACCACGAAACACCCCACCCTGCCCATGCTGTGGGGAACCCCACCTCTCTCCTCCCTTGCCCCGCTGTGACAGGCATCACGGAGGATGCTGGATGATGAAATGACTGTCAGCCTCTCCCTGCCCAGCGAATCCAGCATGTTCATCCACAACCGCTCCTCCTCGCCCAGCGAGCAGGAGTCCAGTTCCACCTACGACCGCATCTTCCCCCTGGGACCCGACTACCAGGAGCCCTCCCGCCTGATCCGCAAGCTGCCCGAGTTCACCTCGGGGGAGGAGGACACAGGTGAGGGCCAGGACACCCTGCGTGCTCACAGCCATCTGCACTGAGCCCGCTGCAGCCCCCTCTCCCCAGCCCCAGCTTGTGGCCGCTCTCCAAACATTTTGTCACAGAGGGGAGAGGTCACACAAGCCCCCGTGCATCCCACATGAAGGTCACACAAAGCCCGTGACCGAGAGCCGTCTCTGACATCTACTGCCAGGCCAAGCTGTGTCCCACCGTCATCCTTGGGATGCCCTGGCACCTCCTTCTCGATGTTCTGGATGTCAGGCATTGATCTCTGCTCACCTGGTGCTCAGGGCTCCATTGGTGTGTTTGCCCCCGGAGAGGAAGGAGCGGAGCAGCGGGAATGCGGCTCCGTGGGGCGGCACGGGGGGCTCTGGGGCAGACGGGGACAGTGTGAGCAGGCACCGGGGAGCAGAGGGCCCAGGGCAGGACACCCACGGCAGGGCTGGCCCCGCTGTGTCCCCCCAGGCTGCAGCGGCCCCACCAAGCCGGCGCAGGCCGGTGTCCCCGAGGGCGTCCCGCACTACGCCGAGGCCGACATCGTCAACCTGCAGGGTGTGACGGGCGGCAACACCTACTCGGTGCCAGCCCTCACCATGGACCTGCTCTCCGGCAAGGATGTGGCCGTCGAGGAGTTCCCCAGGAAGCTGCTGACCTTCAAGGAGAAGCTGGGGGAAGGCCAGTTTGGGGAGGTGAGCGGGAATCGAGCAAAGCTCTCGCGGCTGGCCGGGGCTGTGAGGCTGAGCAGAGGTAACGGCTGCCCCTTGCTCCCCCAGGTTCACCTCTGTGAAGTGGAGGGGATGGAGAAGTTCACGGGGAAGGACTTGGCCCTGGAGGGCTTGGATGGCAGCTCTGAGCGCCCCGTGCTGGTGGCTGTGAAGATGCTGCGGGCAGATGCCAACAAGAATGCCAGGTAGGGGCTGAGGGGGGGCACAGAGCCCAGCACTGCCCCCGTGCAGAGCTTCTCCAGGAGGGCTGGGATGCTTGGAAAGCGTCCCCTGTCTCCAGCGGCAAGGACCGCGCACCTGAGCTCTCTGGGGATGCTGGGCTGCCACATGTCAGGGTCCTTGTTCCTAGCCAGCTCCCCAGTGCCTGTCCAGCTGCTGAGCCCACCCTGCAGCTCATCTCCAGTCCCAGGGGAGGTGGCCCACAGGTCCCTCAGGAGGTGTGGGTGGGCGGGTGCCGCTCTTGGCCAGTCTGCGCTCACCTCCGTGCCCCTCGGGGTCTGTCTGTCCGACCCGTGTGGTTTCTGTTCCGGAAAGGAATGATTTTCTGAAGGAAATCAAGATCATGTCGCGGCTGAAGGACCCCAACATCATCCGGCTGCTGGCAGTGTGCATCACAGATGATCCCCTGTGCATGATCACTGAGTACATGGAGAATGGGGACCTCAACCAGTTCCTGTCCCGCCAGCAGGCAGGTGGCCCTGCAGATGGCCACACACCCACCGTCAGGTGGGGCTGCTGTCCTTTCCTAACCCTTCCCTTCCCCTCCCCTCCCCTCCCCTCCCTCTCTCATCAGCCCCGTGTCCCCGACAGGGACCTGCGCTTCATGGCCACCCAGATTGCCTCAGGCATGAGGTACCTCTCATCCCTCAACTTCGTGCACCGGGACCTGGCCACGCGCAACTGCCTGGTGGGGAAGCACTACACCATCAAGATCGCCGACTTTGGGATGAGCAGGAACCTCTACAGCGGGGACTACTACCGCATCCAGGGCCGGGCGGTGCTCCCCATCCGCTGGATGTCCTGGGAGAGCATCCTGCTGGTACACGGGGCCTGGGCTCCTCTGATGGACACTGACGTGGCTCTGGGCAGGCTCAGGCGCTGTGTCCTTGGCCTGGGGGTGCAGGAGGGATGGTGAGGTCTGTGCTCACTGCAGCCCAGATTTGGGGTGAAGCATGGGGAAAGCAGGAGTGGTGGGGGCACTGTGGTGGTTTTTGATGTCGCAGTGCAGGACATCCTTTAAGCAGGACGCTTGGCATTTTATCCTGGCCATGGCCAGACCTGGAAGAGGGAGCAGTGTTGGTTTTCACCTTCACAGGGAGCTGGGTCCTTGGCAAGCCCCAGCTCTCAGAGCAGCCACTGCCAGCCAGACCTGGAGCTGGCCAGGCTCTGGCCCCAGGCAGAAGGCTGGTCTGTGGGGCCAAGCACCTCTCTGAGCCCAGGTCTGGATGCCAGAGTGTCCACAACGAGGTTTTGATCCCTGAGCACCTACAGCTTCTGGAGCAGGGTGGGGTAAAGCCCGTGACCCTGCTCTGCTCTGCTCCCTCTGGCCAGGGCAAGTTCACAACAGCCAGTGACGTGTGGGCGTTCGGAGTGACGCTGTGGGAGACCTTCACACTCTGCCGGGAGCAGCCCTACTCCCACATGTCTGACGAGCAGGTCATCGAAAACACCGGCGAGTTCTTCCGGGACCAGGGCCGGCAGGTAGGGACGGGATGGGGTGGGATGGGATG